ATTCTTTACGCCCGGAAGAAATCTTCCATTGTCTAGCATGTGTGTGCACTGAACAAAGTTTATTCAGATGCAAAGAATCCCGAAATGTGTGATTTGAAAATAAGGTGATTTACGAGACACATTTGTGGAACAAGTTGCTCCAAGTTGTACCATGAGCGAACTGTATGCAAATCAATGTCAACGATGCACGCCGAGTTTGTTCTCAAATATGTGGTTCACATGCTAAGTGTAAACACCAGTGCACTTCCTAGGTCTTTCCTTGTACAAAAATCCAAACAAACAACCACACAATGTTTGACCCACATTCACCGTTTCAGACGATCTTTAAGGGAAAGTTTCATTTTTAAGTTGCACAGAAAAAAAATCCAAAATATTAATGTCAAATACTCACATCATCAGACTTAAGAAATGAGTGAGTTAGGCCAGTTCAAATTTAATGTCGCATCAGCAAATAAGTGATTCTGGAATTAATAAACCATACCACAGGAATCCTTATCATAAAGTTTTAATATTCATTAATGTAACAGACTGAGGCTTGCTGAGGAATGTTTAATATTTATTGATGAGTGTTGAAATAATTGATATCAAAAGACAGGAGGATAAGATTCTATTTATCATCCAGAATCAATCCTCCAATTTTTTCAGTTTCTAAACTGTAATATCTTATGTATAAGTACAGTTCACCAGCTTCAGTGACAGAGAGATTAGCGATGTCATTTGATTGTGACTTCATGGTAACCAATGACTTTACAACTGTCTTCAAAGCATTGTAATGCAATTTCATTGCAGCCATATCTCCTTTGAGATATAACCCAAGCAATATCCCTTGTGAAAGCCAGTTTGGGATGATAAATGCTGTAATGTAATATTTTTTTGCATAATGATACAACTCCACTATAAAAATTCAAACCCTACTGGAGACCAGATTTCCAGATGGTTTACACTACCCATAGCATTGAACACACATATACTACTCAAAAGAAGTTAAGGACCACCCACTTCTTTCATATTACTGCAGTTAATCTGTCCTGCCATGACAGATGTCCTTAACTTATTTTTCAGTAGTATAGGTGCAAAGTGATGTGAAGTGACACGTTCACAGCCTAAATCGATATCAGCTTTCGTAGCGGTATATATCTATGACATGTCCTCTCTTCTAGAGCATGATCCTTGTCCTCTGCCAGGGTGACATGTTCGTGGTTCTATTTGGCATGATCAGCATGGGAAATGTCAGGTGGGGAGAAATTAATCAACACATATATTCTCTCTGGAAGATCGCCAATAACTGCCCCGCACAAGTTGACAGCCATGAGTCAGCCACTCAGTGATTCAATAGTATACCAGAAGGAAAAGTTGTATTCATCTGACTAGCAGCATCAACAATGGGAGGATGACTGGCGTGTGTAAACAGCGAGACAGGTATCGCGATTGACATTGAAAAAGGTGTGAAGACCAGCTATTAGCTGCGAGAGGAGTTGCACCTTTACGACAACACTGTCCTTCGACATGAAGCAGACAATGACACACATTTCAGTAGAGCTGTCACAGGCTCCACGTAATCCGGACACAATAAGAGGAAATACTTAGCCATCGTAGGTCGGTCATGATCAAGTGGGATAGGAACGTCAATGCTCCTGGTTTCTGTGAATGAACAGATCTCTCTGACCTTGGCAGATATTGCTAAATGTGTAAAGAGGATTATAGGAGATATATCTTAGAGTCTGATTGTATTGTATCGGTTTTCACACAACCAATAACATAATCCTCCCTTGTGACACAAAGAGGCTCCGATATCATCCCCAACTTGGAAATCCTTATGAGAAAGAAATCTACATGAAATGTACATTGACAGGAACACAACACAGTCATGTAATAACCAACCTCAACAGGGAACAAATTCCAAATCTTCAAATGGCATAATACACTTTTTGAAGAAATAATCCAGGGATTTTGAAAAACAAAATATTCCACCAAACAAAGTAAACAACAACACACTTGGCAAGTCTTGACCTTGTTCAACCTTCCCAGTGAAAACAATCACATATTTCTCACCAACACCTACCTGGAAATATTCACTTGGTTGGGCCCACCTCGGTTCCTCATTGAAACGGTTTTAATCCTCCTCATGATAACAATGGTCAACCAGATCGAAAACTTTCAAACAAATTCTACCACTATTGATCACATATATAATCTGAACAAGCAGCAATGTAATGGAAAAAACCTTGTTGCTAAAGAAACATGATTAATAAATGAAGAGCAAACATTTGCACCTGGAAAAACCCTTCAACACACGTGAACCTAAACCAAACTCTGTTCTCACCTTTTTGCCCAATTTGCCATTAATCCCAGGTAGATTACTATGTTCTGTTAGTCAGTGCATGAATCAAGTTATGTTTACAAATGGAAGCCTCCATTAGCCAATTAAAATGGCTCTACAATTTGTGAAAGTAGGCTCCGATGCTCTTATTATCACAAATAATATCTAACATGATTTCCTTTTTTGAAAACATTGCATGCAGTGCAGTCACCAAGGATTTTACAACAGAAATAAAAAACAATTCTTTTTCAGAAACTGATTTTACAAGTTTCCACAATGCATTTTTAATTGGTTTCTCTATACTGTGAAATATATCAAGACTTGTTAACAATACAAATACACATTATATTTGGATCCCTTATCAATGAAAAATCTATCTTGAAATCTGCCACTATTAATCACACTTCAAAACGTGTTCCATTGCAACTCAACTTCAACCGAAATCTTTTATACATGCTAACACAATCACTAATCAATTGCTTAACTGTCCGATGATAACAAAAAGTGTTTGATTCACATTCAAATCCATCTTTGAATGCATAAAGCATCGGTTACAAACATAACCCTCAGAAGCTGACACTAACTAGGCATGTATATCCAAACGTATCTGCCATAATAGGCATTTAAACCTGACATGCATGAAATTTACAATCGTTAATAGCAACTATACTGCCAATATCGTGCCTATCAAGCAGACAATATGAGATATGGATAAAGCAGATGGGGAGACCCACGAAGATATAAATTCAAGGGTTTGTTCTACTGGAGCTCATGCAGAGAATCAGTGGATTTTGACAGACTGTGGGAATTGCCCATGCCCTTGTAAACCAAAGATGCAGAAAATTGGACTGTCGATTACAAATAGATGGAGATGAGGCCTTGTTTTGATTCAGTTGATTTTATGAATGACTGCCATGGATCCTTAGTTCCCAGCTGAGCTGCTTCAGACTAGATGTAGATATCAACTTTCATGTGACACTCCACAACCATGTCCTCCCCTCTTCTGTCACAAGACTTACCCCATGAATGAAACGTATACTTGGGGACACAATGACAAAAGGGTATGGGAGATGTTCCCTTTATTCTGTTTATCAATGAACACGAAGTATTTCATGTCAATGGATCCTACATACTTATATCAGTGGATGTGAGGCACTCGGTAACAATGGACTTGGAGCTAAAGCTAGACTTGACAAAATAGCCTGACGCTCCTTGTATAAGCTTAATTACTGGGAAGGGAAGGTGCATTACAGTCAAATCTATTTGGCTGGCTAGTTACAACACAAATGAGTGGAAGTTCCACCCATCTAAGGGTCAGGCCTCCTTAAATGCATCAGCCTAAAGACTCAGACACCGTCATCCATCTGGGAGCACTTCAAGTCAGCTTCTAAAGCAGAATTTGCCTTAGCCTTGCATGATACGGTCAAAAACAGTACTATGATAGTGTAAATTATAATTGACATTGGTTTAGCTGACAACACTTTCCCTGTCTGAAAACTCCAACTGTGATCATCTTATACATTCTGGAAGAAGCTGATTGCCTGTCTAATGGAGGACAGATTGCCGAGTTAACAGTGACCACTTATTGGGCAGTCTAGACCAAGACTGCACCTACACAACGGTCAATCTTCCAATAGTCTAAACCAGTCTCTGCAACAGCTTCATCCACCCAAGCTCCCATGTAACACCTTTTACTCCAACCTCTTTATTCAGACCTTTGTTTTACATTTGTAGGAAAACACAATAACAATGCACAGGCCACAATCTGACCAACCATCTTAGATAGTAGCTAATATGTGACAGGCAGCCATTCTCAAACCATGTTAGAAAGTGGCTTTTGTCTAATATAATCCCAACCAGACTCTCTAATCTGAAGAATGATGTGCTGCTGAGTTGCCACCTACTAATTATAAAAGTGGCAGTGCTCTAGGAAATGTCACTAGTCTCAGACATGCAGGCTTTTGTTAATTTTGAAACCTGTCAAACCATAAGTCTCGAGAGTAAAATTATCCATAGGACTTGTGAAAATTACTAAAATAAGAAACTTTCCTGTACACATCATGAGGTCTACAGTGACAAAAATGAGTTACTTTCTACTGCTGTACCATCATTTTTGTCTGTTGATCTTATTATCGCTCTGGTTTCTAACTCTACGGTTGACGGGATGAGGTGACGAGACTTCTGTCTGTCCCTTGAGATGCACCAACAAATGCACTAAACGTGTTACACACTGAATGCAATGTCACACAATTACACTATCTTACCAAGAGAATTGACAAACCAAGTTTGGACAAATTGTGGCCATGATGACAGAGCATAATGGGAGCAAATTCAATGACACAATTACATTAGTTATCAAGAGAAACTCCAGATCTAATGAATATCCTGTGTAGAAAAAAATGAATTTGATATTGCGGACAGGTTTGATATTTCTTCAAAAGTGTCAAGAGCCTGTGTGTCCACATTTCCCCAGACATCATTTCATGGGCCTTGAATGCAGTGAATCAAGCAATATGAGGGCTGATATTGACATCACTTTGGCTGATATGTACATCCAATTTTCCCTGCTGGACGGCTTCAAATACAAGCAATTTATCCCTATCTGGAGACAATTTGTCTGTTCAGAAAGCCTAGAGCTTCCTCTTTAGCAAGCTCATGAATAACCATGATGTTTACTCACCCATCGCCATCTTGGAAGTTTACGTTGAACTTTTTATTATTTCCAATAAGCTCTGAAAAAGAGAAAAAGAAAACTGTAAATTATTGATAGCTAATCAATTTGAAACTGAGTAATGCAATTAACAAGTGTCAGTTTCCATCAGAAACAGAATACGCAATGAATGCAATCTGTTAACAAACTTTAAATGAATGACACCAGTCATACATTTGCTGAAATGTAAATTAAACATAAAACAATCACCAGAAAATCTCTAATTTTCAACATGTCAACCTAAGTATTAATCAGTTGTTTGAGAAATGCAATCTTTGTTGTTAACATGGTAATGATGTTTGCACACTTTCATACCTTCCACAATTCCCAAAATGGCTATGTTATAAGGGTAATGCTATTTTTCAGGGCACTATGATTTGCAGAAGCCTGAGGTCTTCCAAACCGAGGGCTTCTGCAAATGATAATACCCTGAAAATTAGCATTACCGTTATTATAGCTGAAATTAGTTAACAAATAAAAGAAACAGCAATATCGGTTTTGAAACATTTACTGCAATCAACACGAATGTCACTGACCCATTTTTACAAATATGGAAACGTCATAGAACAAACCAGATGACGTCACTATTCAAAATGACGTCACCTAACAATGGACGTGATAATGGCCCGTCGGCAAGCAATATGAGGGCATTATCAAGTTACAGTGGCCCACTCATTTTTGATAACATGCGGGCAGGTTGATGATAATTCAATCCATTTTAGCTTTAATTAAGAATAAATGACACTATAACAAGTCTGAGGGAGCATGGGTGGCCCAGTTGTTTAAGGCAATGCAATTTGCTGTGCAGAGTTTCATTCCTTGGTCACGCCAGAAACCTCTGATTGTGGGTTCAAATCCCAATTCGCCCTGATTACGTTTCTAGGTATGTTAGCACCATACCCGTGCTAGTGGGTTTCACCAAAGTGGTAAACGCCTGAGGCCTGCATCACTTCAGGCTTTCCTCCAACATTAAGATGACACAATATTGCTTGAGTACTATTCAAAACGGTGTTAAAGTCAACTCAAACTAATCATGATACAGTAGTGTAATGCCCAACTCTTAACAAATGTTACTGGTAAGAATTATGATGTAATAGTTGAAATGTGATTAAGAAACTTAACATGAAACCAGTGTTGGTGCTCCAACTTCAATTGGTCAATCCTAATCAATGTTTGATTGGTCGTCGTGCTGGTGCAAAGATTGACTGTAAGTGTCCATGTTGTGTCTAACAATTCTGGATTTTCAAAAGAGTATTCCTCAACATTCATTTCAGTGTTCTTCCAGTGTTGGGAAGAGGGTCTGGCATATTTTTAAAAAAAATAATCTGTTCCAGAAAATAGTGTGGAACATATAATTCTGTGTCAGTTTTCACAGAAAGAAAGACAATTGTTCACTTGATGAACTGGGAAACACGTGTTGGGTAGAGGTAAAATTCTTCTCCTTCAGGATGTCTCCTGGCTTTGTGTTCACTTCACAACTCTAAATGTCACTAATCGGGAGTGTATCACGACATATCACGCACGCACACACACACGCACGCACGCACGGACGCATTCACACACACGTGCATGCACATCGCTCTATAAGTGCAATAATCTTGGACGCGCTGTTACTCCCCATTTCACCTCACCTCTTAAGTTAATCGCTAAGATGAAGCAGTACAATCAAGAGTCACAGACTACAAGTCGAATCATTAAAGATAGAGCGTTATATATATCAAACAATAAGCAAATTAATTCCCATTTTAAAACAGGTGGCGACTTGTGTGATGTAATAGCATGCAAATTTGGAAAATATTGTTACTTAAATTAACTACATTAATAGTTATTTATTTATTTTTTTATTCCCCTTTGGAAATTTTTAATGACATTTGGTGCAGACTTGGGCCGAATATCCGCCTCTGATCAAGTGTCGATAAATCCCTACTACAGCTCCTATATGTCTTTTCCTCTTCAGTCATTTCCCATTGGCATTACGATCCCCCTCAACACATCCCTCTACCTTCATATGTTAAACTGTTGTTACCATCAAGCAACAGCGCTGATGCCACAACAACCCCTCAACAACAAAAACAGTGCAACATGAGGAAAACTGTCATTAAAAAATGCTTCCTTACGTAAACTGAATTTGTTAAATTTCCAAATCAATTACTCCATTTACATCGCCCCTCTCTCCAAGGTCCTCACAACCAAACAAATCAAATTGGGACAAATGTTTCCGATATTATCAAACCCTTAAATTATCTGCACAATAGTGGAAGAGTGCCTACAAGCGTCTGAGGCTGTAGTATAGCCAGCCAACTGGCCGGAAGGCTGGAAGACAGATCTGAGGCCATGTTTGCAGGCATATTTGTGAAGGATTTCAGGGACAAGATGACTGTTTGTTTACAGTCCTTCACAAGACCCCTGATGGAAACCATGTTCTCGAATTCTCCATCCCTGTCAAAGAAAGATATGCTCTCTCAGGACTCTTGTACTGTTGGTTTTTGTAAATGGTGTCTGTTTACCCAAAGAAATCATATTCCTTTTCAAAAGCAAGCTTGTGTTTGCATTTTCATGCAGTTCTGAATTTTCGGGTTCAGAAGAAATAATGTTTATGTCATCAATAAATTGAATTTGTACATAATTCCAAAGCAATGTTTTTTTGGCATTTAACATTCCAATTTGAGGCATGAGCAGAAGGTTTTTTACAGGCTGTTTATCGGTGATATTGTGTCCACACATCACAACAACCTGTCATCGTGGCAACCATGTTTGAAATGTATGGGATGGGGTGATGCTGCAGCCATGGGGGTTAATGCGTCGGCACATCAGGAGCCAGGGTGAGGCTTGGCACTCGCTATGCAGAGGTCCATGAAATCATTATTCTCTAGGACACTGCATTAATACCTCGATTTTTAAAATAATTTCATTTCATAAAAGCCAAATGCTGATCGGATTCAACCTATCTAGACTTGCCATTTGTTTCATCTAGACTTGCCAGGAAAACCAGTTAGGAAACATGCAGATATTCCACCATTTGTACAATTCATATGGTCTCAGAGCAATATACATATAATGTACATCTTTGTATATACCCATATATCATTGCCATCACCAATAACAAAGCGTACAGTTAAATTCATGTGAATATACATGTATTGTATTGTATTGTGACCCGTGAAGATACGGCATAGAATAGGTCTTAAGCAACTCATGCTTGCCATAAAAGGCAACTATGCTTGTTTTAAGAGGCGACTAATGGGATTTGGTGGTCAGTCTCGCTGACTTGGTTTGATGCATGTCATCGATCCCAATTGTGTGGATCGATGCTTATGATGTCAATCACTGGATTGTCTGGTCCAGACTCAGTTATTTACAGACTGCTGTCATATAGCTGGATTACTGCTGAGTGCAGCGTTAAACAACAAACAACCACAAAATTGTATTATATTGTATTGTATTGTATTGCATGTATTGTACAATGTAAGTTGTGTTCTGGTATACATCCTGTTAAGCTATGCTTGGGATACTGCTGAACCAGGAGTGAGTCACATGCTAGCCTGTAGGCAACAGGAAAGTGAAAATTCATATGGACAACCTGTTCAATAGTCTCTGAAAATACATAATTTTGAAAACTTTAATTGAAAAAGGAGCCCCAGTGAGATGGGAGATTCGGGACCTGAAGAAAATCTAGACTTGCTTCATTTAGGACTTTTGCATTACAGAAAGGGCTGGGCAAAAGGAAAAACAAAACAGATCAGGGACTGTGAGACAGACAACCTGTTCAGATACAATTATATTTACACAAAGTATCCAACCCAAGGCCATGTAGTTCTCAAAAATAAGATTTTAACTTTCTGTAAAATCAAATCAAACACATCACCGAGGCTGCCCATCTGATACATTTAGTCGCCTCTTATGTGAAAGATGTTACTGGGGACCAATTCGAAACCCGAATGTTCTTGGGTTGCAGCAAACAACTGAGTCAACATCTGTTTAGGTACAAAGTTGAAGGGTATAATACAGTATGCAGAAATGTGCAACTCCTATGAAAACACATATGCTGGTTGAAAACACAGATCAAAATACACCCTTAAGATCTGTTGTTCTCATCAACTTAACACTTAATACTCAGAACATTTGGATAGATCAGTGTTGGAAAATAAGGATGAAAACCAAGTGCCTTGCCATATAAACCAAAACGGATTTCAGGAGTGCTCAGACTACAAAATGTGCTAAAATCCTCACTGACCCCAAATGTGTCTGCTTGTACTAGTCCAGCCACAGTTTAACATGGATACCTCACTTAGACATAGTATACTGACTCCAACCAGTCCTTGTTTTTTCCATTAATGCTGAGTGCCAGGCAGGGTAAAAACAAGTACCATCTTTAACATCTTTCATATGAGGGGTGTAGGTATTAAACAACTGACCTTCTGCTCACTCGGCAGAAACACTACTAATGACAATACCAGTGCTCGAAATTAACCATAAAAATCAAGGGATCCTTTTCATAACCCTAATATAAGAAGATGTATGGGCCCCAGTAGTCTGTCTTACAGACCCTGATACAAATATATATAAAATACAGCCCATGCAAGTCTATAAGTATAACATTTGGCAAGTCTAGATTACTGCAGTATCAGTATCTGAAAATGAAGAGAGTCACTGGGCTCCCTTTTATTATATTTTTATAAAGATAACTGAACAACTGTTTTTTCTGTACGATATGTTCATTTCAGAGACTAGATGATAGTCTAGGGCCCCAGGCCAAGACCCCCAGGCCCCCCTCCTCCCCTTGTTTCAGACACAGATGATCCATCACCTAAAATACTGTTGAAAGATTTGTAGATTTTATGGAGTTATTATGGCCAAACGATGGGATTTATGGATATGATGTAATAGAGGAATTATGTATGTCTTTATCAAGTTTACACAATTACAGTCAATTTCTCATTCAAAAGCGTGTGAAAGTTGTTGTTCACAGTAACTTTATTTCAACAAGAACTTTTGGCCTGAGTGTTGGAGCTTCTGGCAACT